CCTTTCCCCTCCTCCCCTTGCAACCACGCAAATCTCTCTCACCCCTTCTTCCCTTTCGTTTCGTTTCCCAGTCCGATCCGATCCGCCACCTCCTATGTAGGAGGTCAAAGGCAAAAGGCTCTTTCCTAATCCCCACCCCTCCCCTCCACCACTTTTTCTGTCTTCTTCTTGTTTCTTGTCTTGTTATTTGAATGCTGTTTATTGTTTGCAAAAAGGTTTCTTTTCTTTTTTTTCTCATTCAAAACAACTATCTATTTCCCGTCATTTATCACCGCAATCTAAACAATCCCCCTTATCCTGCTCGTCTTCACTTTTCGTTTTGCATTACATACACTTTATAATCTTTTCGAAACGTTCGTTGACACTTAATTACTCGGAGCAAAAGAATCTAATCTTTCGTTTTACCCTCAATGTCACTACTCGATAAGTCTATAAGGATAATGATGGGTTTATATAAGTGCTTGTGTAAGAAGTTTGAAAGAGTTATTTCTCCACTCGAGCGGTGCTGGTTGGAACGGCCAGGGCGTTATTACCTCAGTCTAAACTCGCAGGGACGTCTGATGTAATGAATGCTCTTCCGTAGGGTCAGCTCAGGGATGAGGGAAGACGTACCAGTCTAGTTGAGTGGCTAACACTGACCGAGCTCGGTCTATCATAGCCGTGCGTACTGTTCCAGAAGTATGCTTTTCATTATGCGACCCAGAGGCATAGTGTGTATGGAGGTTATCATGTGAACGAGTACCCCATATTCTGGATTCATCTGGGTTGAGTAGAGGCCAATCCTGTGCCAGCGGCCCGTTCATAGTATGTATACAAAGTCCGTGACAATGTGAGGTCGTTATGTCTACCAGGCTCGCTCGGATGATGGTCACCCGTCCTCCTATCTCAGTACGTTTTAATCCGTGTCGTGTGTTCCAGTGGCTAGGAGAGGCCGAACCGGTTCATCATTACCGTTTAGGCGTTGGTCTCGGAAACCTCCCGATATGGAATGTCCGTGGGATCGCAGGTCAAGAGGATGCGCTGGTTTTTCCTGTGCCATAATTGCCCTGTGCGTCCGGGGAGACTGTCGAGAGATTGGGAGGGGTAGTTATGGTCCCACCAGCTATAAGTTATCATTCTCCTTCCTCCCAATCTCAATGGGTGATTGTTTACACGTCCTTGTTGATGAGAAGAAAGCAGCGTGGCTCGTAGGCGGTTCCGTTTCACAGCACGGTGATGGCTCAAAGAGAAATTGGAACTCAGCTCTCACCATTACCTATCATTATTTTTGACAACGCATTAGCATAACGAAACAACCACAAACAAATATCAAGAGGAAAATTCAATGTCGAATAAGAATTCCAAAGACCCCTCATCCAACACACCCACAGTTGCACCGATCGGCAAGGACGATGATATATGGAACGATGATGATGACGAGTATTGGCAAGAGATGGAGGTCGTGAAAGAAGGAAGCAAAAAGTCATGTCGATAACTTGGTTATCGCATAATGGGTGGAGGAAGATGGCCGTTGGAGCTCCTATCCTAGGTAATGTCGGTGCGTAGTCGTCGGATTCGTAGCCGTGGATTCATTCAAGG